TTTTTTTTTTTTTGGGTTGAAAAGCTAAGCAGACGCCTCTCACAATACATCACTTGCGTAAGGTCTTGAAGTCTAAGCTCCCTTATATCGAAAGGAATCTTGGTTCAGTTGTCAGTATTATAAGGCACTCTATCCAGAATGCTGCTGCATTTGAGGAGGCTGCTAAACTTCTTAAAGAAAGACGCTTGGAATTGGTAAGTGTTCAGTACGAGTCTGAGAAGTTCTAGATTTGTACTTCCATGTGTTGTCATCTCTGTCGTTAAATATGTTTATTTCCTTCTCAGATACACCTTATAAGGAATAACAATATTCGATCAAGTACTGATTAAGTATAGCAGTGTACCACGTTCTTAGATTAATCTATATTTATCACTAGTAGCTTTTTGCTACTTTATTTTTTGTTCACTGTTTTGAAATGAATCATCTTTATTTGCAGGCAAATGAAGGGAACACTTTGGCCAAGGAAACTGAAGTGCCGAATTTTAAAGCTCCCAAAGAAATAATAAAAAATTCCGAGGCAGGCAATAATTTGCAAAGCAGCACTTCACGTAATGATGTTGTGGTTGAGCCAGGGTCCGCACAACTTAAGGTCGAGTCACGAGCTAGTACTGTTTTGACAACAGTCGAACTTTTTCCTCTAAGAAATTATGTTGTTTCTGATACTGATGAAGTGGCCAGTAATTCTTGGTGGTTCAAATTAAAATAAAGTAATTTTTGCTTAATTATTTAGGCTGAAGCAACTGTTCAGCTGCTGAAGAAACCTAGCCGAGCTTTTGGTGCAGTACTTGGAAATTCAGCTAAGAGGAAGTTCGATCCTGACAAAATCGTAAGTTTCTTATCAAGAAGCTAGCGTGATTCACTTGTTCCTTAATTTTTTCTTTTCGTTAAGTGTTTAGAAGAATTATTTTTGAATAATATCCTCCAGGAAGATCTGGATAATATAAAATCAACCGTTAGCCTTCCGTTCCATGCTTTCCCGAGCACAAATTCGAGACTTCAAATGGATCCCGAAGAACCTGCCAAGAATCCAGAAACACCATCTCACACAGAATCTTCAACTCCCGCCCGTGGCTCTACTCTTGAAAATGTCATCGTCTTGGATGACGACTCTGACGCCGATGATGACTCAGCTAGAGAAAACACACGTGTAGCTGCTGCTGCTGAAAAAAATGAGGAAGAACAAAGTTGGGGTTCGGGTTCAGAGGCAGACGAGCCCATGTCACTTGGTGACCTGTCCTCCAGCTTCCAGAATTGCTTACCTTCACAAGGTCAGACTGTAAGTGCAAACCCCGTTGATAAAACTCAATCTTTGTTAGAGGTGAAGTATAAATAGATTTGACTTTTGACGATTGACTTTGGATTTGACTTGTGGAGTAAATGTCATAATGTAGTCGCTTGCGTTGTAGATTTGGACTATCATTACTTATTTATGCATTTGGTATTTAAATGATAAAATCGAAAATAGCAGCAAAGCATTTTAGTCGCCTACAGGATTTACCTTAACTATTTAACATCATCTCCATTGGACATATTATTATTATTACTCCCTCCTATTTTAAATAAATGTCGTTTTGACTTTTTTGATTCATCCATTTTGCTATGTATCTAGACATATTAATGTCTAGATACATAGCAAAATGGATGAATCAAAAAAGTCAAAACGACATTTATTTAAAATAGGAGGTAGTATTATTTATTTTTTTTTTTTAAAAAAAAAAACGTCGTTAAGCACCCATTCCACACTTAATTAAGGCTATGTTTCGTAGATAAAATTAGCTAGTTTATAGCTTTTTTAGTTAGTTTATAAGCTCCTTGATTCAAATTAGCATCGTTTGGTAGGACGAGTTTTTTTAAATAATTCGAGCTTATTTGATAAATTTCTTTAGGTAGTTTTTTGAATTTTTTATTCCGTCTAGCTTATCAGTTAATTTTACTAAACACTTTTATTATATAAGTTATTTTTTCAGCTATACGTTATAAACTTTACTGATAAGCTATAAGCTAGTTTATCAGCTATTCGCTAACTTATCAGTTAGTTTTACCAAACTTAGTCTAATGCATATCTTGTACCCAAAAAACATTGATAATATATATTGCACGGAAACAAAATACAAACATGAAATTCAAATTCATATCTAACATCAAACTAAAAATCGAAGTCAAATTCAAATTCAAATCCACATTCTTCTTCAAATTCAAATCCACCTTCTTCCTCGCCCTCGAATTCTTCCTCTTCTAATTCTCCTTCTCCTTCAAATCCACCTTCTTCCTCGCCCTCGAATTCTTCCTCTCCTAATTCTCCTTCTCCTTCTTCTTCCTCGCCCTCATTGTACGTCTGTCCGATTTTATAGTGCCTACGGCCATGCCCTCCGCCACCCATCTTGCCCTTGATTTTGTGCATGAACTCCTTCAGGTGGCCACCGTGCTCCTCCCCCTTGTCGTCGTCGGAATATTCTTCTTGTGAATTTTCCTTCCCGTCTTCGTGATGCTTGCCGCCATCCTCCTTGTGCCAAAGATGGAGCTTCTTCTCCACCTTTTCCTTTATTTTTTCCTCCAATTTGTGCATGATCTTCGACATTTTTTTTTTCTATATCTTTCTTTGTTCCCTCCTCAATGTTAATAATAGAATGGATTGGTGTGTGGACTTTGGCATGCATTTTATAAGCAGCACAAATTGAAGAGTGAGGGAATTATTTTTTGTTAAATATAAAAAACGCAAATGTGCAAATATTAATTTGGAAGACGTGTGGGACGTGGTCAAAGATGAGCTAATAGTATTATAGGAAGATATATAGGAAATATCATGTTTTCAAACTCCAGTGCAATGAGTCAAGGTTGTCCGAGTCGCCACAATTAACAATTTAAGTCAAATTGCGAAGAATATCATACATATTTTTTTTTTCAAAATTTTAAGAATCTTGATGTAGATAAAAAAAAAATAGTATATATAAATTCTTAAAATGCTAGATGAGTGTTTTTATATAGTCGTTGAGTTTAAGGTACGATCATAGGATAGCTAATGTAGGTACCAACAGTTAGACATGGTCACGGGCCAACCCGGCCTGTGAGCCCGGACCGGCCGCGGGCAACGAACGTCTCTCTGTTTGATGTAGGAAAAAAGCGTACGAGTGGAAAGATAAAACGAGTAAACGAGATACTCTCTCGTAAAACACGTAAACTTAACAATATTTTTTTTTCATTCAATAATCAACTCCTTAACACAAAAGAAGAGGAGTCCTTTAAATAAAACTCCTAAAACACTAATACTAACTTGTCCAACAAGACAAGAATCCTAGCAAAATAATATAATAAATAAGTTTCCTAACAAATCAATAATAATAATAATAATAATAATAATAATAATAATAATAATAAATCCTTATCTCCATCATTCTCCCCCTGTCGAAAAGGATTCGCCCTCGAATCCGAAGCAATCTCGTCTTCAACTGCTCCCAATCCCGACAAGGCCAGTTTGACGGTTCATGAACTTGGTATACTCACAAGCAAAAAATCTATGACAACAACTCTCCACTTTGTCATTTATGGGCACATTATACGAGATATCAGACACATATGCTTGTTGAATAAAAGACCATGGAAATCCATCTTCCAATTTACTGAAAACATCAATTATAGGCACAACCTCAGAAAACACATATGATTCTACAACCACATGGTACTCATCCTCCATGGACGCCACAGGTGGCTCCTCATAAAAAACGAGTGGACCCTCATAATCGGTCGACCACTCGATATCAAAAATAGGTGGACCCGTATATTCGGTCGACCCCTCATCATCAAAACAAGGCGGACCCTCATATTCGGTCGACCCTCGTGCGTCCACAAAGGCCCCTGAAAATTCGAGGATTTCAACTTGGAACGATGACTTCCAACGTCGATCGTCGTCTTGCTGCGCCTGTCGGAAGTCGAAGGGTTTGACCTCCGGCAACGTTTCTTCGTCGTGCATCGGTGGTGGCGCACGCTGACGGGGCGCCCCGCCAGCCCCTCTTCCGCCACGACTTCCAAGATAACCCCCGTGACCGCCCCGGCCGGCCAAGTCGCGGTTTATTTGCTTGTCCGAAACAACCACGTTGTTAAGCGTCAAATACAAATCCTCGATCCCCGTCGAAAGATCGGCAAATCAATCCGTGAAACGCACTTTCAACTCTTGAAATCGGTAGTCAATCTGTTGAAACCAATCGTTGAAGGTTGCATCACGTTGTTTGTTTGCGGCATCTTGTCGTCCCGACGGCATCGCGATCGTACTGACTGCTGATACCAACTGATGTAGCGAAAGCGTGAACGAAAGGGAAAAGGATAAACGAGTAAAACGAGATACTCTCTCGTAAAACACGTAAACTTAACAATATCTTTTTTTCATTCAATAATCAACTCCTTAACACAAAAGAAGAGGAGTCTTTTAAATAAAGCTCCTAAAACCTTAATACTAACTTGTCCAACAAGACAAGAATCCTACCAAAATAATATAATAAATAAGTTTCCTAACAAATAATAATAATAATAATAATAATAATAATAATAATATAATAATAATAATAATAATAATAAATCCTTATCTCCATCACTGTTTGTATGTTTTTTTTTAACGGGTTGGGTGGCTGGAGAACCGGCGGGACCGGCCGGTGCGAGGAACCGGTCATAGGCACTTTCTGGTTCGATCACGGGTCAAGGTTTTGAGGATCATCGGCCTGGTGGGCCGGGATGGGCCGGACCAAAACCCGTTGGCTAGCCATGTCTTCGTGTCAACCAGCAGTAGTTAATATTCAAGGCAGAACACTGGATAAAGATAATGAGATTAGGAGTCAATAATTGTATGATGAAATATTATTCATTATAGCTAGTTGACATGTTATTTTTTGCCTTAAATGAGGATATGGCCGTAGCCTATGGGGATGGATGTATTCGACTGAGTTTGAACGATGTTCTTCATACTTTGCCTCTGGTCAAAAATGGATTGTTCAATCACAAGGTCCAAAACGACTACTGTGAACTTTATTACATTGGAGCAAGTCCGTTAAAATAAAGAGAAATTTTTACTGCACGAAAAAAAAATATATCCGATTTTACCTTCTTAGAACAATTAATAGGATATATACTCAATCAAACTAATTTATTTACGTGATTGCTTAAATATCAGTTACATTTTGTAACATCCTTCATCCATATCAGTTATTCTTTGGTGGTTTGATTTACTCATTTAATTCCTTAATTCGCGCAACTGAAATTTTGTAATTATATATTGAATTTGTTAATATATATTCAGTATATGTGCACAACTGAAATTCTTCTTTTTTTTTTTTTTATACATAAAAGTATATGTTTGTTGTGTTTTTGTCCTTATTTTCTTGTGTTTTATGTGTTTTATTTTGTGGTTTTTAGGTCCGTTTTTAGGCTCGACCGGTCCATTTTGTCGTGTTTCGTATATTCTTGCCTTTGTATAGTGTTTTCGTATTTTTGCGCGTTTTCTCTTTTGTTTTGGTGTTGAATAGGTCCAACGAGTTGAGAACGAGGAGATGAGCCATCTGAGCCGTCCAACCCGGAAAATCCGACCAAGCCATACCGGGACGAAGAGAATTCAATGAGGAGAATTTTGGTCCAAGTTTTGTGCAAATCGGAGTTGTGTGCGAGAAATTAGAGCGAACCGAGCTTCAAGGGGTCACCGGGACCAAGCCAATGCACGCCCGCGTGCCCGCGGAACCGTCCGCGAGCTCGAGA